AGTGCTAACGATAACTATAATGATAGCTATAGTGCTAACGATAACTATAGCGATAACTATACCAATTACTCTAGTGATAACGATAATGAAAACTATAACGTTAATTAGTGATAACTATAATGATAACTACAACATTAACTAATGATAACTATAAAAATAGCAAAAATTATAACAATAACCATAATGATAATTCTAGCGAAAACTAACTATAATGATAACTATGGTACTAGCGACAACTCAGCTAGCGATAACTATAAAAATAGCAATAACTTTAGCAATTACTATAACTATAGCCATATAACATAATGATAACTATAGTGCTAACAATAGATATTAATGATAGCTATAGCGCTAACGATAACTATAATGATAGCTATAGTGCTAACGATAACTATAATGATAGCTATAGCACTAACGATAACTGTAATGATAGCTATAGTGCTAACGATAACTATAGCGATAACTATAGCAATTACTCTAATGATAACTTTAATGTTAACTTTAACTAACGATAACTATAACGTTAAGTACTAACTATTAAAATAGCAAAAACTATAGCGATAATTATAATGAAAATTGTAGTGCTATTGATAGCTAGTGATAACTATAATGATAACTGCAAAAATAGCGTTAAGTATTGGGATAACTCCAATTATAGCAATATAATAGCGAGTATAACGACAAGTTGACAACTATAATGATAACTATAGTGCTAGCGATAACTAATGATAACTACAGTATAATAACTGCAAAAATAGCTGTAACAATTACTTTAATCATAACTGTAAAGATAACGATGTTAGTTAGTATCTATACTGATAACGTTCTGCTGCAGTTTTGTCGTCTGCCGCTTAAAATCCTCAAACTCTTTAAGGTCGGGTGGATTCTGCATGGATTAGCATAAAATGCATCCGCCCGCATATAGTGTGAAGCGGTAATTAGCTAAAACCTTTTGACTGATACATTTATATTGAAAGAAATCCGTAGACACAATCATCAGCATTTATTTCTTGATTTCATGATAGAAGCGTGTCTGTGAAATCATTGTTTAGACTTTGTTTTTGCCCGTTGTATGACGTTTTAATGCAGTCTAATTCCAGCTTGTTTTCATTGTTGTTCAAATAAATGTGGCGTCTTGTCATTGTTTGCTAGTTTCTCTGATACCCTATCGCTTTCAATCTTCCCTCAGCTGCAGGCCGGTGAGATACTGCGGAGCTCCAACATCAGCTCCACCGCCGCAGATCTGCTCCAGGCCCGTCAGCAGATCACGCTGTACCAGCAACAGCTGGACGAGAGGGACGCACAGGTCAGAGGTCACCAGGAGAAGACGCAGGAGCAGCTTTTATTGATCGCGCAGCTTCAGGAGAGGGTGAGTTCAGCCCACTCAGCGGCCGTCAGCCCTAGGCAGCTGTTTCCAGTCATGCGATCCAGCGTCATAAGCTTAGCTCAAATCAGGCCAAAAAAATAGTATCGTTCATGTTCATGGTTAATGCTTAATAAAACAACCAAGCAGACATCTTTAAGTAAAACCGAGTGAAAAGTGTGTAGTTGTTATATTTCCTCCATTGTTTATTATCCAAGCAGTCAAATTAGGGCTGTTGATTTAAGAAGTTACGTGATCTAGCCTGTTAGAATGCAGTAGTGTTAATTCTAAGCCAGTTTTCATAACGTAGGCAGAGCGAGTGTATATCTGAAGTCTTTGGTGTTTATTTAGCCTCTAATGATATCCTGTGATAAATCTGTACACTAGATGAGGTCAAATAAACCATGCATACGAGTCGATATTCTATTGATTTGTTGTTATTGGTGAAAGAGCAACTTCTGGTGAAATGTAAAAATAAAACTTCCCAAATGACAACAATCATTGCAATTAAAATTGAGCAAAATAATACTTTTTATAATTTGAACCATTATACAGTGAGACGAAAATATGACGAAAATGTTTAAGTTTCCACCGACTAAAATTCTCAGACGTTTAGTCGACTAAAACTTGACTAAACAAAAACAGGACCAGTTGACTACATATGATAAAAATACCATATGAGCGAGAGTGCTGGTTTTCCTCAATATCTGTATGATTGCAGATGTGTTCGTGATTTTATACAGTTTAATAAACAAGAAGCTCATGTTGTTACATTTTAGACTCAATATTGTCTGTTTTGCTCCGTTTCAGAAAAAACTAAAAATAACTATAGCGATTAAATGTAAACGGTAACTATAATGATAACTATAGTGCTAACGATAACTATAATAACTATAGTGCTAACGATAACTATAATGATAACTATAGTGCTAACGATAACTATAGCGATTACTCTAGTGATAACTATAATGATAACTACAACATTAACTAATGATAACTATAAAAATGGCAAAAATGATACCGATAACTATAATGATATATCTAGCGAAAATTAACTATAATGATAACTATGGTACTAGCGACAACTCAGCTAGCGATAACTATAAAAATAGCAATAACTTTAGCAATTACTATAACTAAAGCCATGATAAGTATAGCGATAATGATAACTATAGTGCTAACAATAACTATGATGATAGCTATAACACTAACAATAACTATAATGATAGCTATAGTGCTAACAATAACTATAGTGACAGCTATAACAGTAACAATAACTATAATGATAGCTATAGTGCTAACAATAACTATAGTGACAGCTATAACAGTAACAATAACTATAATGATAGCTATAGTGCTAACAATAACTATAAAAATAGCAGTAACTTTAGCAATTACTATATAGCCATGGTAAGTATAATGCCACGGCAGAATTGATGTGCATCTTTGTGCAAAACAAAGCAGTGCTTCGTTACTAAATTAATCCAAGTTTTAGAACGAATCGAGTGAGTCAGTAATTTAGTGACTCATTCATAAAGACAATCACTTGATTCGTTTACTTAACGGCTCGGCCTTTTGAACGAATCGGTTGAATGAGTGATTCAATGACTCACGCATTAAGACAGTGACTCGCTGCCACCTACTGGAGGTTTTACTTTCATAATATCATTTAATATTTCAGTATTAAATTAAAAAAACATTAATGCTCATTTATTATCATTATTTATGCAACGTTGAATCAAAATTAAGCTACTTTTTTGTAATATCTATTCAGTGCTTTTTATATTTATCAGAATATTGACTTTAAATTAGCTTTTGGGGGGTGATTTCTCAGCTTAAATTGATGGCCGAAGAATTAGATTGATTAATCGGCACATCATGTTATTAATTCGTTTCCAAATTTGAATAGTTTGACAGTCCTAGATCAAATACAACTACTTTCAAGTAAAAACTTTTTTTTTCTGTCATCAGGTCCGCACACAAGCTGAAGAGTCGTTTGCACAGAGTTTACGAGAGAAGGACCTACTGAATACTGAACATCAGTGTCTAATAACGCAGCTTAAAGAACAGCTTCTGTCTTCCAAACAGCAAGTAGAGGAATTCAACAAACGTCTTGCTGCGAAAACTCAAGAGCTAGACAACTGCGAAAAAGAGCTCTCCACGTCCAGACAGAAAGAGCGCATGTCGTCCGGAGAAATCCTGCAGCTCATGAAAACTGTCGAGGACCTCCAGCAGCGCTGCCACCAGGGAGGCCAGTCGGAGAGCGAGACGCTCCGGAGAATCGAGGACGACTGGAGCCGACGGATGGAGCAGCTGCGAGCCGAACTGGACGAAATGTACGGTCAGCAGATCGTGCAGATGAAGCAGGAGCTTCGCACGCAACACGCGACGGAGGTGGAGCGAATCCGAGCGCAGCATTGCTCGGAAACTGAGAAGATCGTCCAGCAGTACCAGTCAGAGCTGGAAAGGTTTAAAGCTCAGCTGTTCCAGAGCGCCGGAGGTGTTAACGTGCTAAACGTTAAGCTCATCGAGCTCCAGCAGAAGCTGCAGGAGACGCAAGTGTTGCGCGAAAAGGCGGAGCAGGAGCTAACGCAGGCGAGCGCAGAAAAACTCGGTTTGGCACAGGAGGTGGAGCGTTTGCGCGACGAGCTGCAAAAAGCGGAAATACAGAGCCCAGAGAAAATGCAGCACGCTATTAGCGACCTGCAGGCGCAGCTAGATTTAGCGCACAAAGCCAATGGCGAACTAGAAGCCAAGCACGAATCGGAAATCACCAACTATAAGATCAAACTCGACATGCTGCAGCGGGAGAAAGACGCGGTGCTGGACCGCATGGCCGAATCGCAGGAGTCGGAGCTGGAACGCCTGCGAACGCAGCTCTTGTTTAGCCACGAGGAGGAGCTCTCCCGACTTCGCGATGACCTCCAACGGGAAAGCCATCTCAACGTGGAGAACCTGCGAGACGAGTTGGGCGTGAGGCACCACGAGGCTTTGGACGGTTTCGAGGACAAGCTGCGGTCGGTGGAGCGAGAGAAAGCGGCGCTGGCGGCGGAGAGACTCGCGCTGCTCGAGGAGATCGTAGCATTGAAAAACGACCTGAATCGGGCAACGGAAAGCGTGAGAGCCGAGGAGCTGGTCGCGCAGCTGAAGGAGCTGCAGGTGGAAGTCGGAAGCGAAGAAAAAGACCTGCACGCAACCACGAGGGACGAGCTGACAGCGCTGAAGAACGAGCGTGAAAACCTTCTGCAGAAAATCGCCCGCCTTTCCTCGGACAACGAACAGATGTGTGCGCGATTGAAAGAGCTTCGGGAGGAGACTGAAAAGCAGAAAAACACGTTCTCCTTCGCTGAGAAGAACTTCGAGGTGAACTACCAGGAGCTGAAGGACGAGTACACGTGCCTGGTGAATGCTAAACTACAGCTAGAGCAGCGCTTGGTCAGAGAAGCCATGGAATATGAGACCAAACTCAGAGATCTGCAAACGAGACACGAGGAGGTGGATGGGAAGACGCTGATTGAACAAGACACCTCTGAGCTGATGGAGAAGCTGGAGACGGCTGAGAGCGAGAAGAAGAGCTTAGCAGAGCGTCTCTCGATGATGCAAACAGATATGAAACGTCTTGAAGACGAGCTCAAGAACACACTGATTGAAAAAGACACCACTGAGCTGATGGAGAAGCTGGAGACGGCTGAGAGCGAGAAGAAGAGCTTAGCGGAGCGTCTCTCGATGATGCAAACGGAGCTGGAGATGCTGAAGAGAGACAGAGACGAAGAGCTCTTCGACTGCAGCGTTGCTGGTGGGCTGTGCTCAGTGGAGACACATCACGGTCACATCAGATCTTTGCGGGAGGAACTGGATGCCTTGCAAGACGAGGAGCGCCTCGAAGCAGCGCAGCCGCAGGAGGGGAGGGAGAGAGAGACGCCTGCGAGTACTCCAGCGCGCCGGCTCGCTTTACACACACACACAGCAACAGCAGCAGCAGCGCATGAGGATCAGCTCTCAGTGCCCGACCGACTCCCGCAGCAGGTAAGCGTGTGACGTGTGTCGTTGTGTCGTGTGACGAATCTGCGTTTGTTTATGTCGACTCCTGAACTCGCGATGCAACAGTTGGCCTGCGTTTATCTGCATTGCACTGCGTTGAAAATGCACCAGCTGTGCAGCTCTCAGTGCCCGACCGACTCCCGCAGCAGGTAAGCGCCGCTGCTAACGTGTGACGAATCTGCGTTTGTTTATGTCGACTCCTGAACTCGCGATGCAACAGTTGGCCTGCGTTTATCTGCATTGCACTGCGTTGAAAATGCACCAGCTGTGCTTGATTTGATGTAGATGCTATGGAAAGCTTTCTCAGAGGATTTATCCATGCAGCACTGCAGGTGAAAACTGTGGGAGGAATTGATGTGCGTTTGAGGGCCGAGAGAGAACGAGAGATGATTTAGAATCGAACAGAGTGCAGTGCGATGGAGGGGCGAGAGAGATTGTGTTATAAAAGAGAGAGACACAGATGAGCTTTATTCTCTTGCGTGTGACACTCTTTGATCTCAGCAGCTCTGATGGAAAATTAGTGAATATAGACCGCTTTAAAAGGCCATCATTGACACTTTAACTTTTTTTTTTTTTGCACAAAACACTATTTATGGGTGAATCTCACAAAAACATATGCAGGTCATATTCCACCCCAAAATCAAAATGTTTTTTTGTTGTGGTTTTTTTTTTAAAGAAAATCGAACAGAGTGCAGGGCGATGGAGGGGCGAGAGAGATTGTGTTATAAAAGAGAGAGACACAGATGAGCTTTATTCTCTTGCGTGTGACACTCTTTGATCTCAGCAGCTCTGATGGAAAATGAGTGAATATAGACCGCTTTAAAAGGCCATCATTGACACTTTAACTTTTTTTTTTTTTGCACAAAACACTATTTATGGGTGAATCTCACAAAAACATATGCAGGTCATATTCCACCCCAAAATCAAAATGTTTTTTTGTTGTTGTTGTTTTTTTTAAAGAAAGAAAATCATGTTTATTTCCATATCACATTTGAACTTTTTTTTTTTTGTTTTGTTGCATTTTTATATTATTTACAACCATGTAACAAATTAACCCCCCCATTTTCATTGTCATAAAGATTCTGGATTATTTTTTTTAATAAAAAATATATTTTTATTTTATTTTATTTTTATTTTTAAATTAAACAAATTTAAATCAGCAATTTAAAAAAAAAATTGTGCAGTTTTTTAAATTAATGGAAGTACATATATTACCATGATGTAGAAATAATTTACAATGTAGATAATCAAATTCTAATCTAATTAGTTTCACATTACTGTTATGAGAGAGAGTGTATTTTATTTGTTTTGTGTTTCATTAATGATAATGGAAAAATTTAATTATCATGAAAATTGTCACATAGCAACAAATCTTAATAGTCCTAAAAATAGGCTTAGTTGCTTTTATGAAGAAGAAATTATATTGTTATAAATAGTGAAAAGTACAAATAAAAGTATAAAGAAATTAAATATAAATATTGTACATTTTTAAAACTTTTTTTTAATTTTGATTTTGGAGTTGCAAGTATGACCCGGACATGTTCTTTGCAATTTTGTGACACAATTTTCATGCACTAATTGTAACTTAGTTTTTCAGACCATTTCCCACCGTCTCTCTGATGCTTGATTCTTAATTAAATGGGCTGATTTAGTGAATTGACATCATTTTCACGGTTGTTTGTCAGAGCAGGTGAAGTTTCTGAACACTGAGTAGCTGTTGATATGTAAATGTGGCCGTCGTAATCATGCAGCTTTGTGAACGAGTGGTTTTGTGCGTGTTTGATGTTTTCCTGCAGGATCGCTCAGCTGCTGTTTGTGATCCGCAGGTGGAGACGGGAGATGCTCCGGCCGATGGAGACGCTGTCGGAGCCTCGCTCATGATGCAGCCGCGGGAAATGGACGGCGCTGAGCATGTAAGTATCCGTCTTCAGCTCATAGCTGCAGCTCAACAGTTCAGGAGGAACAAAAATAGGTGTAGGATTTACTTGGAGACAATTTTCACTCAGAAATGGCTAGTAAAGTTCACAAATAATTGCAAAGAAATGGCACGTTGAACTTAAAAAAAAAAACATTTTACAGTGTAAAAGTGTGTGTACATGTGCTAGAGTGTGTGTGCGAGTCTGCTGCGGTTTAAGTGCTATTAGCTGAATTTGCTTTCTTGTGTTAGTGTCGCTGTGACATTTATCAGAAACCTGCTATTAAATCATTGGAGGTGTTTCCTGTGCAGCAGATTTTTCTCTGTAATTGCTGCTCGATCTCCATCTTCCTGTGATGGTCATTAAAATGCTTGGTTTCTGCCTGTTAACACATCAATGAGGACAGAGCCGGACCCTCTCTGCTCTTTGTGTCTCATATAAAAGAGCCTCACAGTCTTATGACGTGCTGAAGTGTTTGTGTGTGTGTGTGTGTGTGTGTGAGTGCGAGAGTGTGTGTGTGTGTGAGAATGTGTGTGTCTGTGTGTGTGACTGAGTGTGTGTGACTGAGTGTGTGTGAGTGTGTGTGTGTGTGTGTGAGTGTGTGTGTGTGTGTGTGTGAGAGTGTGTGAGTGAGATAAAGACTCACAAGACGTCCAGCCTGAAACCTCAGTGTTATTTTAGTATAATTGAGATGCTATTATAGTTTTTATTAATATTAGTTTGTTTTTGTTTATAAAGCGGAGAGTTCCGGTGCTTGATTCTGATTGGCTGAGCTGTGTTCGAAGCTGTTGTAAATGACGCTACAAAGTAACACACACCTTTGTTTACGTTTGTGTGTTGCTCGGCAACCACTTTGTAGCAACCACAACTGTTTCTGAGGAGCTACATTGTTTGGTGGAAGAATACTGTGTTTATTAATATCATTACACTTTATTTGCTCTGCTTTATTTTGTGAAACCTTACTACGTATATGGAGTAACCGTTTTATAAACGCAATAATCCCCGTGAACCCGTGGTTTACAGTGAATTTATAACAGCTTAGCTTAGCAACAACGCCACTTAGCTGTTATAAATTCACTGTCAACCACGGCTTCACGGGGCTTATTACTTTATTTTATATTTTCAGTTTTAATTTTAGTTAGTTTTAGTCATTTTGTTGTGTGTTTTTGTCAATTTTCATATATTTTTTTGTCTATATAGTTTATATTAATTTTATTTCAGTTTTTCAAGTTGAACTAAACAAAAATGAGAAATGTTGCCTTGGCAACTAGCTGAAATAAAATACGTTTTTTTAATTATATTTTAATAGTCAAAAATTTATTTTTAAGAATTTTTGTTTTGTTTTTGATTAGCATAATAAATGTTTAGTTTAGTATAATAAACTAAAAAAAAATAATTCTAGTATAATAAAGTAAATTTTTATTGTTTTTAGTTTAGTATAGTATACTAAAATGTTTTTTATGGTTTTAGTTTTTGTTTAGAATAATAAGCTAAAAATATTTATTCCAGCATAATAAAGTACATTTTTATATTTTTTTTGTTTAGTATAGTAAACTAAATAAATACATTTGTAAGGTTTTAGTTTAGTAAAATAACTGAATAAATATATTTTTATGATTTTAGATTTAGATTAGTATAATAAACTAAATAAATATAAAATCGGAGGTAACTCTCAGGGTATGCGAGCAACTTATTCTCCGAGTAAGCCAGGTTTGGGTTCATCAGCCGAGAGTTCAGGGTAAATGTGACGGTAACCTTGCAGCCAAACAATCCTACTGCCTGCTCATTGGTCAGTCAAACAGATAGTCCCGCCTCCAGTCTCACGCCATTGGTCGAGTTAGAAGTTGACACGTCTGGCTGATCAAAGCAAACAAAAGCATTACAGAATGTTTACACTCTTTAGGAAGTCAAAATAACAGCTGATTTCTTGAATGAATCTTAAAATCATATCTGTGTCACGTTTCACCCCAAAATCAAAAGAAAGAAATAATTATGGTTTGAGCAAAAATGTTAAAGCCTGCTTAAGGAGCGTTTGAGATTCATGAAAATAATCACACGGAAACGAATCTTAAACGGGTTTAGTTGGTTATATAAAAATTGTATTTATAAGTTTTACTTCATTTTGATTTGTTCTTGTGTAACTTTGTAAAGTGCAAATATCACCATGTTGTAAAAAATTATTTATAATGTAGATAATCTATTTTTTTTACATTACTGTCATGAGAGTGAGAGGTTGATATTTAATTATCATAAAAAAAAATGTCTCGGCAACAAATCGTAATGATCCAAAAATCATGCTGTGTTGCTTTTATGAAAAATAATATTTGGGAAACCGTTTTAAATCTATAATATTTATACCGATATATTTCCTTTAGTTTGCAAACAACACCAAGTCTCTCCTGTGCAGAAATTATAAGCAAATTATTTTTAATTTTAGTTGTAAAAATGTTTTAAAGTTAGTTTAATAGTTTTAAAGTTAGTTTTTAACAAGAACTTATTTGTTAGACTTAAATAAACAACAATGAAGTTATTTTATAATGACAGTACATTGAAGATTTGGAAATAACTATGAATAAACTATATTCAATCGCTGCATTTTGTTCTGCAAAATCATGCTTTGTTGCTTTTATGAAAAATAATATTTGGGAAACCATTTTAAATCAATAATTTTTTTTATATTTTATATCATCTGCACCAGGTTGTTTTACATCACGGTAACTTTATATATATCATATTTTGCAAATATTTTAATATTTTTTTCATAACATTTTTATAATTTTTTTTCTATAATTTTTTTTTTTTACAATTTATTTTAGAGTTTGAAATAGCAAAATTTTTTTAAAACTTTTTTTCTATTAATTACAATTTTTTTTTTTAATTTTGGAGTTTGAAATATGACCCAGACATGTCCTTTGCAGTCTCGTGACACAATTTTCTTGTTTTTTGAATCATTTTCCACTGACATGTCTCTGATTCTTTATCCTTAAATAATAGGCTGTGAATCTTTTGCATTGATTTTGGGCGTGTTTTTGTCAGATTCACCCGCTAATGTTTGCCTCTGCTGTATTTTAGCCTCAGAAGGTTCTCCTTTAACCACTCACGAATCACTGCAGTTCACTCTCGGTCCGTCTGTCTGTCTGCAGGATGAGTGTCGTCTGCAGCTGGAGGCTCAGCGCATCAGTCTGTCTCAGATCCACGCCGCTCATCTCGAGCTGCTCAGAGAGAGTCTGTTTGCGCAGACACAGGCGCAGCTGCAGGAGCTGCGGGACGCACACGAGCAGCAGCTGCGGCGCTTGAGGAGAGAGCAGCAGGGAGTCAACGGTCATCCCGCAGGTCAGTGGGACGCCACATCAAACGCCGTTTCAGATGCATTATTAAGAGATCCACAGGGATTAAATCACTTGCTTCATTCCTGAATGATTCAGCCGTTCGAACGAATCAATTGAATGAATGACTCCATGATAAAATCAGTGACTTGCTGCCACCTGCTGGCAGATTTAGTTTTATTTTTAGCATATAATTTCAATTATTTAAAGGGTTAGTTCACCCAAAAATGAAAATTAGCCCACAAATTACTCACCCTCAAGTCATCCTAGGTGTATATGACTTTCTTTTTCTTACAAAAACGCATCGATTCGCTACAGGAAGCCTTTGTTTACCCCCCGGAGCCGTGTGAGACTCTTTTTTTTTAATGGATGGGCGCTTTTTATTTAACTTCTTTTGGACTGAAGCAATGCAACACCCGCTGAGTGCCATGAAACAGCTTGAAAGATCAAAGACAATTTTTAATATAACTCCGACTGGATTCGTCTGAAAGTAGAAAGTCATATACACCTACGATGACTTGAGGGTGAGTTTTTCAAAATTGTATATTTAAAACATTAATCTCCACATGAATTTAATGCCACCTCTGTGCCTCATTAAACGTCTGAAAATGTACCTACAAGCCACTTGTGTGTTCTTCTGTGCCACCTCCGTAGTACAAATTAATCTATTAATACTAATTTCGTATGATTGGTAACTTATTTGTCTTATTCTACATTGTTTTAAATAGAAATTTTAAAAAGATTATAAAAATAATTTTTTGAATTTGGTAACAAAGGTAAAAAGAATATACTCCGTCCGGTAAGTCACTTTAAGGAGTCAAATGTCACCTCGTATTAGGAAGGCTAATTTTTTTATCAGAATTATTGATCATGCTCCTAAATTTTTTAATTAGGAGGACAAGCGCTCCTAATTACAAGAAGAAAAACACTGCTCTTAAACTGGGTGTGTGACAGGTACGGCTGAGGAATGGGGTTTGGTTGAAGAAAAATGTTCAATCAATGCTTTAACCCCATATAATAAGAAGTAGAATAAGACAAATACGTTACCAATCATATGTATTAGTATTAATAAATTAATTTGTACTACAGAGGTGGCACAGAATAACACAAAAGTGGCTTGTAGGTACATTTTCAGACGTTTAATGAGGCTCAGAGGTGGCATGAGTGCAATTAAATTCATGTGGAGATTAATGTTTTAAATATAAAATTTAGGGATGTAACAATTACCGGTTTGACGATAAATCGTGATACAATACCCCACGGTTAGTATTACCGTTTCATATTTTAATTATCACTATAACCGTATTCGATTACCGCGGTTTGAACAACTGAGGATAAATAAATACTGTCCAGCACAGGGCTCCAGACTGCGACCAAATGGGTGCCTTTTGCGATAATTTTTTCTGCCGGTGCGACTAAATTTTGTGAGCGGTCGCACTGGCGCAACCACCGCATTGTTTAACTCATAAGCGCTGCCATATCTGTTGCATATGTGAAACATCAAACGGCAAACGAAACTGAAAGCATAACGAAACCGCGCTACTCGTTTGAACTGCAGCGCTTGAGTGTAGAGCCTGGTTTATACTCGCCGCGTCAGCGCGAACGCGAAGCTGCGTGCAGCAAAAATAACGCGAATATTGAGGAAACGATGGATGGTTTTCATGCTAAAGTAAAGTAAAAGACCGCTTCATAAATCAAAGGTGAACATGTTGGTATTCTTGTGGGGGAAAAAACATGCAAGCACTGTCACCGACAGCAAGTTTAGTTTTACTTTTCTTTTTGTTTTCATTTTGAAAAGCTTGTTATCTTTGCTGTTAACCTCACGTTACGCTATGGAGGCTCTCTTTTTTATTTATTTGATTCCTCAGTGTTTGCTAAACGTTCTGTAATTTAGTAGTCGGTATATAATACAGCATGTGGTGTATGCCATGCCTCGTCTTGCAAGCTAGTTTGTCATTGTATCTTACAGTTTTATTGTTGTTATGCTTTTTAATTAAGAATAACAATGAATCCATCTTTTGTTTTAGTCTTAAAAAGTGAAATATGTATAGATGTATGTAAGCAAGTCAGACAATTATCTTTTCTTGTAAAACGTGACAACAAGATCGCGAATTCGTAAGTGAAAGCACCTGAAGCCCGGCTTATAACATAGCCTAGCAAAAGAGAAACAAAATTAAAATCACAAAAAATACTGATGAAAAAGAAGGGGTTGAATGTTAACCACTTTCGTTACCATATAACTATAAACTATGATCAAAGTTCATCAGCATGCATTGATTAATACCTAAAAATAAAAATACTGCGACCAAATCATGTGCTCGTGCGAGCAACTGAGAAAGCTAGCCGCAAAAGAGTGACCAGTGGGAAGAATGAGCCCTGAAGCATAAAACAGTTTTATTACATTAGATATTTGATATTTACATTAGATATTTGAACATGCTATTAGATAAACTGTTGTTAAAATCCGGACATCATTTGCAACGTTATTGTTTTAGTTAAACTATTTATGTAAAACTTAAATTATTTGTGTGTCAGTACTTTTT